TCTTTCTTTCTTTCTTTCTTTCTTCCTTCCTTGCTTTCTTCCTTCCTTCCTTCCTTCCTTCCTTCCTTCCTTCCTTCCTTCCTTCCTTCCTTCCTTCCTTCCTCTCTCTCTTAGACAAATAAATATCATTAGCAAACAAATGAATATCATTGGACAAATAAATATCATTATCAATACCCATGTTTACCCCTTTTGTTTTTATTTAATGCTAATAAAAGGCAAATTTGCATATTATTAATTAAAAACGTGTGTATAATAGTTGTTCATGTCTTGCGGCTCTCAAACATCTGATGTTTATTCTGTGTGGTTCTTACATTAAGCAAGTTTGGCCACCCCTGGGCTATAGGTATGACTGTTGTTTCTATTTCCATTGTGTTTTATCTGAAGAAGTGTGTTTGCACATGAAGGCTCATACCGCAAGTAAACCTTTGTTGGTCTTAAAGGCGCTACTGGACTCAAAATTTGTTCTTCGGTTTAGGAGTGCACGGTCGGTCTCCTGAAATAAACAGGAGGCTTGTGGTGCCTTATAGACAAAAGATGTTTTATTCCAGGCTAGGCTTTTGTACAATAGGGTCCGCGTTTTCAGATGTGGGGATTTGAGCCTGGGTCTACTGGATACTAATGCAACTCTCTTAACCACTGTACCACATGGACTCTCAACGTAGCATCTCACTGTTAGCTCTGAACTTTTTAAAAAGTGGGGGAGTCCCAATAACCTTAACTTTTAACAATTGTATGTGAAGCAAAGGGCCTCACTGTGGGTCAGGATCCTACAATGGATTGATGGATTGCGAGTCTCTTGTACACAGCTTGCGGGGGGGGTGGGGGGTGGAGGAACAAGGTTAGCTGGGAGAGGAAGCTCTCAAGGTGTTGGTGGCAAATGTAGGGTTGCCTTTGTGCATTGGGTTGCCAGCTCCAGGTTGGGAATGACCTGCAGATTTGGGGGGTGGAGCCTGAGGAGGGTGGAGTTCGGGGACAGAGGAGGGACTTCAGTGGGGTACGATGCTATAGAAACCAACTTCCAAAGTGGCCACTCCCCCCAGGTGAACTGATCTCTGTCGCCTGGGGATCAGTTGTAATAGCGGGAGGTCTCCAGCCTCCACCTAGAGGTTGGCAACCGTATCTGTGTGATGTGCGGTGGCCGTGATGAAATCAAGCCTATTGCTGCTCTATATACGTGATGGGAAATGTTTCCAAATTGCAGCGGACTTATGGCAGCCTCAGAGTTTTCGAGACAAGGGACGAACAGAAGGGGTTCACCATTTCCTTGGTGGTCTCCCATCCAAGTACTAACCAGAACCGACCCTGTTTAGCTTCTGAGACCTGATCAGATCAGGCTAGCTTGGGCCACCCAGGTCAGGGTAATGTTATTTAACACATACAAACAGGGGTCGTTTTGTAGAAAAAGAGCTAGGGGAACTCATTAGCATAACTCATTAGCATATGCCACACCCCCTGACATCACCGGAAGTGTGTCATAAGGCCACACACCCCGCCCCCAAAGGTCCTGGCTGCCGCCGCCGGCCTTGCAGCTCCACTGCCGAGCCCCATGAGGGGCCCGTGCTTCGTCATGTGCCCCCCCCCCCGTACCTCACCCAGGGGATCTGCGATCCCCCGCGATCCCCCCCCAAAATGACCTCTGCATACAGATACCGGTATTTCAAACTTGTTCAGTGTTGAAGAAGAAGAGATTGGATTTATACCCTGCCCTTCACTACCCAAAGGAGTCTCAGAGCAGTTTACAATCTCCTTTCCCTTCCCCTCCCCTCCCCTCCCAACAGACACCATGTGAGGGAGGTGGGGCTGAGAAAGCTCTCTCGAGAACTGCTCATGAGAGAACTTGTGACTGATCCAAGGTCACATCAGCAGTCGCATGTGGAAGACTGGTGAATCAAACCTGGTTCTCCCAGATTAGAGTCCGCGCTCCTAACCACTACACCAAACTGATGGGGCAAGACTAGCCTTTTACACTGGACAGGTCCAAAGTAGCGTGGAGATACTTTACAAGGGGGGGACTGAAAAGTACACTACATTTAGTCTTGCTTTAGAAGATTTGGAAGCCCTTGCTATAGTAGTATAAATAATAGTATATGTGCTGCCGAAGCGAAGACATAATCATTGCTGTCTTTATGTAACAGGAAATAATGTATTTAAACTAAAATGGATTAACCAAGATACACCTCTAAAAATAAAATAAACTTAGCTGTCCTTGACAATAACCAATCATGTCATCAAAAATACAGCTTAGAGGAACTTTGGATCCCTCTTTGATTTCCAGAATGAAAACAGAACCAATTGGTTGGAAACCTGCTGATTCTTTCATAATCATATGTATTTTAGTTGTTTATACCCCACTGGTCTCCTTAATGGGGACTCAGAGTATCTTACAACATCATTCTCTCCTCTTCCAGTTTTACCCTCATGATAACAAACCCATGAGGTAGTTTGGGCTGAGAGAGAGAGTGTGACTGGCCCACCGTCACCCAGCAAGCTTCCTCGCAGATTGGGGATTCGAACCCAGGTCTCCTTGATCTAGTTCAGCACTCTAACAGCTACACTAGGCTTGCTTTCTTGGTAGCATGATAAGAATACATGTACACATCTGTCTCCAATTCTGACATATTTATTTGCTTCACTGTTTCCCCCCGGAATTAATTCCAAACAATGGTAACCTTATAAACTTAGCTTGTTATTCCTGTTTGCATCTGTTAAAACATCTTCATTATGAATGAATGAATGAATGAATGAATGAATGAATGAATGAATGAATGAATGAATTTATTCACGGTCATTGACCAACACATAAACCACTTTACATTTTGTAACATAGAAAGAAAACATCACATTAAAATAGAAGCAAAATTTTTAAGACTGATTATAAAAACCATAAAACCATAATGGTTAAAATTAATAAAACTAAGTCTTAGTTCTCCTCTTTTCAAGCTACTATAGATTTTTTAATTCTTTGGGCAAGCCATCCAAACCTAGCCACCCGATAAGTAACTTCTGCCTGGCTGTCCGATATCAAATTTCTTAAAAGGCAGATTCTTTGCTTGCGAGAGAGGGGGAGTGTCTTAAGGAAAGGAAGAGACTCGCGGATGTTATTATACGCTTTACAATCAAAACTTACATGTTCTACAGACTCAATACCATCCACACAACAGGGGCATATCCTTTCTTCGTGAGGAGTCTTGTTAAATTTTCCTTCCAGGACTGTCGATGGGAGTACATCCCAACGCATGAATGTAAACATTCTTCTGTAGTCCTGATTTAATAAACAGGAGAGGTAAGGCGTAGGGATTACTCTGTTATCTGGAGCCAGAAGGACTCGCCATTTCTCTTTCATATTTAGATCATGAAGATTTAACATCTTCATTATGTTGCAATGCTAATTTGGCTGTCAATCCTCTAACCTGCCTAATGTTTCTCTCCTTGCAGCTGGCCCTCTGAACATGATGCTCTGGCGATGAAGGCGAGGTCTTAAGCCAAGGCTACCTCTCTCTGAAACTTCCTGGGCCTCTGGAGAAGACCTTGGCACGAGGAACAGCCTCTCCGAAGGATGGGCAGCCATGAGAAAGACCCCTCTTCTCCCAAAAGGCCGCTGCCCCCCTCCCGTTCCAACAGCACCGTGTCTTCCAAACACAGCATCACTCAACAGGTGTGACTTCTTCCCTGCCCTTGCCATGGAGTAACCATGTGATTGGTCTCTGCAGATAGCTGGGGTCGGGTGGGAGGGGCTTCCAGGCCAGAGGGTGTGGCTTAGAGGCAAGCTTGAGCTCTGGCTCGACCTTGTCCAAACACTGACCCATGGGCATGTTGTTTCATTGGGCCATGACAAAAGGCAGTTCCCCCCCCCCCAACGAGGCCCTTACCTTTCTTTCTCTCACTCCGGTTATTCAGGGCTCAGAAAGCTGGGAGGTGGTAGACGAGATGCGGATCCAAAGCAGTGTCGTCCAGGAGCCGGAGAGGCAGGAGGGCTACCTGTTAAAGAAGAGAAAATGGCCCCTGAAGGGCTGGCACAAGGTGAGAAGGTGGGGACGAGCAGAATCACGGGAGGGTTTCGTTTCGTTCCTGTTCGGATGCTACTTCTGCCTGTGCCAACCACCCACCCAGCTCCCCGCGAGCTCCTCATCTGCCTAGTCGGTGACAAGGGGTTGGATGGAAGACGCAACAGTTCCAAGGGCACTGTTAATTCCGCATAGCATCCAGTGTAGTGTTAGGCTATGGCTGGGGAGACCCGGGTTCAAATCCTCACTCGGCCATGGTAGCTTGCTGGGTGACCTTGGGCCAGCGACTCACTCAGCCGAACCCACCTCACAAGCTTGTTGCGAGGATACAATGGATGAGAGGACAATGGCATTGCAAGCCAATCTGAGCCCCCACTGGGGAGAAAACCTGGGTATAAATATCTCATTGCAAGCCAATCTGAGCCCCCACTGGGTATAAATATCGGAAATGAGAAATACACCACCAGATAAACCGCACTGTGTACCAGTATTCAGTGTTCCCACTAAGCTGTGGAGTCTTGTGAGCAAAAATCCTACTTTGTGAACTACTGGCATTAAAGTTGTGAGCGATCGATTTGGCTGCTGCGTAAATTAGTTTGCTCTGGAGCCCTCCTTCCTGAGCTAAGACAAAAATGTGTGAGCCAGAGGCTAAAAAACTGTGAGTTAGCTCACACTAACTCAGCTTAGAGGGAACACTGCCAGTTAGTAAATTCTGTACTCAGGACCTGTTATATTTTTATAAAGCTATTCCTCAAAGGAGATTGGGGCTACCTGTGTGACTCTCCCATTTTACTCCCACAAATCAGGATCATACCACCAGCCATAGTTCTGACAAGAGCTGTCCTTGAAAAAGAGCAGTTTCTGTCAGAGCTCTCTCAGCCCCACCTACCTCACAGGGTTTCTGTTGTGGAGAGGGGAAGGGAAAGGAGTCTGTAAGCCGCTCTGAGACACCTTCAGGTAGTGAAGGGCGGGGTATAAATCCAATCTGTTCTCTTCTCTTCCTCTTTGTCTGTTGGTCTATCACACCTTTGTCCCAACCGTCCTGCAAGGAGCTTAGGACCGCATGTATGGCTCTCCCCTTCCCAGTCTCATCCTCACGACAACCCTGTGGTAAGGCTGAGAGAGAATGACTGATCCAGGGACATTCCGTAAGCTTCACAACCAAGTGGGATTCGAACTCAGGTCTCCCCCATCCTAGGTTGACGCTGTAACTGCCGCGCCACAATGGCTCTGTTACATCCCAGATTTCTGGTGTCACATTTTCAGCTCTTTAAAAGACTGTCTTTTCAACAGCTCAGCCCTCATCTTTTTAGGATCATGCCAGTTTCCCCTGGATTCTCAGATACGGTGGCAAGCTGTTTTGAGATTTGGCTAATTTAGCCAGTGTGGTTTAGTGGTTAAGGTGTTAGACTAGAATCTGGTAAACCCAGCCCTGTCTCCCACTCACAAGGTTGTTGTTCTGAGGATAAAATGGAGGGGGGACCCATGTTGTAAGTTGCTTTGGGTTCCCATTGGGGAGAAAGGTGGATATGAATATCTAAATAAATTCCTTCAAGATGTTTGACAAAATGATATCCTGGTTGGTTGAATCTGTTCAGAGAATCTGTTGGAAGAGCCAGTTTGGTGTAGTGGTTAGGAGGGCGGACTCTCATCTGGGAGAACCGCGTTTGATTCCCCACTCCTCCATGTGTAGCCAGCTGGGTTGACCTTGGGTCAGTCACAAGTTCTTCCAGAGCTCTCTCAGCTCCACCTACCTCACAAGGTTTCTGTTGTGGGGAGGGGAAGGGAAAGGAATTTGTAAGCCACTCTGAGACTCCTTCGGATAGTGAAGGGCATGGTATAAATCCAATCTCTCCTTCTTCTTCAGACTGGCTGATTATTTTGAGGTAACTGGGAATATTTGTTCTCTCTCTCTCTCTTTCTCTCATAGCGCTACTTTGTTTTGGAAGATGGAATCCTGAAGTACGCCACAACACGACAGGATGTGAGTAAGAGATGGTAGCAGGGAAGTCTGGGATACCCCAGTTTTAATGCAGAAGGAAATCCTACTTTACACAGAGAGTGATTAAAATGTGGAATTTGCTGCCAGAGGATGTTGTGACGGCCACAGGAATAAAGAGCTTTAAAAGGGGATTAAAGAGATCCATGGAGGATAGATCTATTGGTGGCCTCTAGCCATGGTGACTGAGGGGAACCTCCACATTCAGAGGCAATCAGTGTCTGAATCCCAGAGCCAGGAGGCAACATCAGGGGAAGGCCTTGGCCTCCATGCCCTGTTTTTCTTCTGCCAGAGGAACTGGTTGGCCACTGTGTGAGGCAGGATGCTGGACTAGATGGACTATTTGGCCTGATCCAGCAGGGCTTTCCTTATGTTCTTATTAGGGGAAGGCCTCGGCCTCCATGCCCTGTTGATGGTCCTCCAGAGGAACTTGTTGGCCACTGTGTAAGACAGGATGCTGGACTATATGGACTATTGGTCTGATCCAACAGGGCTCTTCTTATGTTCTCTGACCTGGATAGCCCAGGCTAGCCCAATACCATCAGATTTACACCATCCTTATCTCTTTCAAGGCTGGAGTCAAGAATGTGGTAATTAGCTGTGATCAACTAGATGAGAGGGGGAGACAGGAGCAATGTTATCTTCTAGAGGACTCCTGTGAGTATGCACCCTGATTGCATTTGGAACATCACCTGATGCCAGATGGCAAGAAACTATAATTAAGCCATAGACCAGAGGGAAGCCATGCTAACTTTATGATTTCTGCAGGACAGAGGCCTTGACTATACTGAGCCTCATTGAAAGGACCAGCTACATGGAATGTGCTTAAGCCTCTATTTTGGATTTGGAAACTTTAAGAATGTGCCATCTAATACTAGGTATTGATGTATTAGATAGGAAAGTTAGCTTTCTTGTTGTTATGCCACAAAAAACATAGATATTGTGTTCTTTAAATATTTAATAAACATTCTGTTCCTTAAATATTTAATAAACATTCGCAGAGGGTGTAGAGGAGAGTGACGAGGATGATCAGGGGCCTGGAGACCAAGCCCTATGAGGAAAGGCTGAGGGATGTGGGAATGTTCATTCTGGAGAAGAGGAGGTTGAAGGGGGGCTTGAGCTCGCAATAATGGGTTTAAATTCAGGGCAGGAAGATACTGGCTGGATATTAGGAAAAATCTTTTTAAAGTAAGAGTTGTGCAACAGTGGAATCAGTTGCCTAGAGAGGTGGTGAGCTCCCCCGCACTGGCAGTCTTGAAGCAGCGGCTGGACAAACACTTGTCAGGGACGCTCTAGGCTGATCCTGCACTGAGCAGGGGGTTGGACTACATGGCCTGTCTGGCCCCTTCCAACTTTGTGATACTACGATTCTATTTCCATTCGTGGCTGTCTTTGTGTCCCTCTCTTTCCTCTGTAAATCAGGTGATGTTATGAAAAAGGCCTTAGACGATGCTCATGCGGTTCTCTGCCCATGGTGTAGCTTTCTGTGTCTTTCGCCTTTGTGAGGACTAGGAGCTTGCTCTCTGCTGTAGTAAACAATTCTGAAAACAGGACAGATATCCTCCTGGATGATCGCCTGTATTTTAAAATTGCTGCCGTGAAATAAAAAAAGCCCTTCCCCATGTTGATTTTAGGCACAGGACTATTATAAATCCCCCCTAGGACGATCTAGATATCCCTTTTCAATGCCTGGGAAACTGTACAATTCCGCAGGGCCTGTAAAACAGAAATGTACCACCAAACATATGGGTGAGGCCAGGAGAACTCCTATTTATGCAGATCTCTGCCCTTCCTCTTCCCTTTTCTCCCTCCTGGACAGTATTATAATGTTACTGTGTGCCTTCGGATCAGTTGTAAATGCTTACAACTGTTTTTAATTGCAGCCCTGAGTTGCAAACTGACAGCCAGTTTGGTGTATTGGTTAGGAGTGCGGACTCTAATCTGGGGGAACCAGGTTTGATTCCCTACTCCTTTGTGTCCAGCTACTGGTGTGACCTTGGGTCAGTCACAAGTTCTCTCAGAGCTGTTCTCTCACGAGCAGTTCTCGAGAGAGCTCTCTCAGCCCCACCTACCTCATAGGGTGTCTGTTGTGGGGAGGGGAAGAGAAAGGAGATTGTAAGCCACTCTGAGATGCCTTCGGGTACTGAAGGGTGGGGTATAAATCTAATCTCCTCCTCCTCCTTCATGTTTGAATTATAATCTGTTTATCATATGTTATGACCTGCTCTGAGTCCTACGATAGTGGGGGAGAGTGGGATATAAATCAAAGAAATAAATAATAAATAAACCCCTCCCCAAAAGCACTGTTCCAGGTTTGTAAGCACCAGTGCAAATGTCTGCATGTTTGGATGCCTCTGCCTCCTTCAGTTTGTGTTCCTGTTCCTAATGCTGCTGCTTCCTCTGCATCCAATCCCCTGCAGATTAAATCCCAGGAACTCTTCAATAATTGGGTGGCCAAGCTGTGCTCACACCGCCAGGTAGAGAAGATGGGCGCGTCCCAGCGGCAGTTCCTAACCAGGGGCCACGGTGGAAAAGGTCCCTATTCTGCACAGGTGATTTGTGGTGTTTGTGTGTGTGGGGAAGCTCAGCTACAACTTATAGTGTCTTCCGAGTTTCTTTTCATCGTGGGGGAGGGTTGCATATTCAGCCTCCGGGGTTCCTTTATCAAAAAGGAGAACTGTGTGTGTGTTGTGTGTGTACTTTTAACTCTTTCCTCCCCTGCCGTATTCTTTCTGGAAAGAGCTGTCCTTGTGCTGCTTTTACCCCGGCCGGGAAGAACTTATGATAGCCCACATTTTTCCTCACGGAGTGTGTGTGTGTGTGTGTTTTTATCTGGTGAGAAAACAGCAGGAGGGGAAGGGGTTAAAGCTCCCCCCCCACACACCCCAATTCTTCTGCTTGATAAAGCAATGCTAAAAAAAAGAGAAAGAAACCCAAAGAAGAAATCGGGGTGAAAAGAACAATAATCCAAAAGCAAACTGCAATACCAAACAATAAATAAATTCTGTATATTCTGTTTTTGTGTATCCTATTTTTACATAACAATAAAGTTAATGTGCATAAATGATTAATAATATAAACTTTCAGTCCAATCTATATATAAAGCCTCAGGTTTATACAATGTTCTCAACTCAAAGTCCATACATACAAATCACCAGCACAGTGAACTGTTGACAAGGACGCTCCGTTGTGGTCGCTTTAACAAACCTACTTCAAATCGCTGTCACAGCTAAACCACTGTAGTTGCTGATACACAAATCTTGCTTCAAACAAGTACATGACAGGAAGCAGGCTATAATTAGCCTGTTTCGGAGAACTCCTTTCTCAAAGTTGAAGTATACTCTTTTTCCTTATAAATAGCAATGAATCCTGGAGCATATCAAAAGTACAAATTACTTCACAATCATTCCTCAGTTATGGAGGCCCAGCTCTCCACCCTTCAGTTTTACCCCAACTGGGAAGAACTTATGATGGCCCACATTTTTCCTCAGGGTGTGTGTGTTTATTTTTCTGGTGCGAAAACAACAGGAGAGGAAGGGGTTAAAGCTCCCCCCCCCAAATTCCTCTGCTTGATAAAGCAATGCTGGCAGTCAAATTTGCAACAAAAAAGTGTGTTAAAAATGGAAGAGCTGTGGAAGAAATTATAAAATGTAGATGAGTCCAAGGGAGGTAAAAGGAGCTATGGTTAGGGGTCACTTGTCATAGATGAGAAGAGGAGACATGTGTCACTTCCACAGCTAAGGGTTCAGCTTGGCCTGCTGAGCCTCTGTGGTTGCCAGAGGTGCTGTTAGCACCCAGAATATAGGCCCTTGCAGTGCTCATTTGAGGCAGGTATGTCTTCATAAGATCACCCCTTGCCCCACAAGGTTTCTGAGTCATTTTTAGAGTAAAGATGGTAAGCTTCATAAGATCACCCCTTGCCCCACAAGGGGTGGGTCATTTTTAGAGTAAAGATGGTAAGGTCTTAAGAACATAAGAGACCTGCTGGAACAGACCAGTGGTCCATCTAGTCCAGCACCCTGTCTCACACAATGGCCAACCAGTTCCTCTGGAGGGCCAACAACAGGGCAGAGAGGCCGAGGCCTTCCTCTGACGTTGCTTCCCAGCTCTGGGATTCAGAGGCTTCGTGCCTCTGAATGTGGAGGTTCCCCTCAGCCACCACGGCTAGCAGCCATTGATAGACTTATCCTCCATGAATCTATCTATTCCCCTTTTAAAGCTGTTTATTCCTGTGGCCACCACTAAAACCTCTGGCAGCAAATTCCACATTTTAATCATTCTCTGTGTAAAGAGGTTGTTGGGTTTTTTGCCCGTCCTGCACCTACTGCCCATCAACTTCATTGGATAATGGTGCCTAGTTAATTTTACCAAAAGAATTTATGGAGGGGTACCCCTGGTGCTAAACTTGCCAGCTCTGGGTTGGGAAATACCTGGAGATTTGGAGGGTGGAGCCTGGGGAGGGCAGGGTTTGGGAAAGGGAGGAACCTCACCAGGGTATAATGAGTCCACCCTTTCTAGGCAGACATTTTCTCCAGGGGACCTGATTTTGGTTGTCCAGAAATCAATTGTAATAGCAGGAGATCTCCAGGTGCCACCTGTAGATTGGTAAACCTACCATTCGGCTCTTCTCTCAGAAAAGGAAAACAGGAATATTGTGGCACTTTAGAGATGAGCAAGAATTTATTCCACTATAAATTTTCAGAGTTCATCTCTAGTCCACAAAAGTTAATGCTGAAATAAAATCTCGTTCCTCTCAAAATTACTACTAAACTCCTGTGTTGTTTAGTGGAACCGGAAGCTTTGGCCTTTGTTCAACATCCTTTCCCATTTGTGCCAGGTATGGCATCACAGTGAATCAGAGATGGAAACTGAGACCCATGGCCCAAGAGGTTTCTGGGAACTACCAGAACCCTTTGCGCCTCACTTCCATTCTTCTAACACTTTATTGCCTTCCTCTTGCAGGCTTCTGGCTCTCGGCATCGGGTTCAGATGTCGGAAAGCGCCCCTGCCTTGTCTTCGCTGGCCTGTCCCCGAGACAAGGTGAATTCCTGGCTGAGCAGCAGCAAAAGTCTGGACCGGTGCTCAGCAGGTAATGGGACAGTTCTTTATCACTAGTTTGGAATGGCTTCCCTGTCTCTGTGTACTGAACCTTCCAGGATGCTTTCTAGATCTCAATCGCTTACTAGTTTCTACATCTTCCACCGCTTTTCTCTAATTTTCTGTAAGTGCCGGTTTGGTGTAGTGGTTAAGAGCGCAGACTCTAATCTGGGAAAACCAGGTTTGATTCCCCACTTCTCCACATACAGCTGCTGGTGTGACCTTGAGTCAGTCACAAGTTCTCTCAGAGCTGTTCTCTCAAGAGCAGTTCTTGAAAGAGCTCTCTCAGCCCTACCTACCCCACAAGGTGTCTGTTGTGGTGAGGGGAGATTGTAAGCTGCTCTGAGACTCCGAGTGAAGGGTGGGGTATAAATCCAACCTCCTCCTCCTTCTGTTTCTTCTTCTTCCTTCTGTTTCTTCTTCTGTTTCTTGTGTTTGTTCTTCTGTTTCTTCTCCGTCTTCTGTTTATCAAGGTATACGGCAGTCTTTCAGCAGCCGGCATGAAGGGATCTTCCTTCCCTTTGTGGGAGAGTCATTAGACAAAAAAGGAGTGTGGTTGTCAGTTGGGGATGTGATGTCCCTTTATAAACAGTGTGATGTGGATACCTAGGTTCAATTCCCCTCTCTGCCATGAAGCTCTCTGGGTGGTCTTGGGCCAGTTTTCCTCACTTAGATTAGTCTACCTCACAGGGTTGTCATGAGGCTAAAATGAGGCGGGAGGAAGAACTATGAGCCTCGGCTCCACGGGGGATGAGCAGAATAGAAATCTAAGAAGTAGAAAAATGGAACAGGACAAATGGCAGGAGCAAAAGGGGTCGCCGTGGATGGAAGACTGGGCTGTGGTTCTTTGCCTCACTGCCTTAGTTCTGTGCCTGTTGTCTTGTGTGTATCTGCCTAGTGTGTGTACCTGGCTGCCTGTGGGTTCTAATGCAGGATGGGTTCTGTTTCTGTCCCTTCCAGTCTGTAGGTTGAGTTTGGAGACTGGTTAAGTCCGTATGGGAGTCTGGCTGATGTTTCTCCCCAGCTGTGTTTCTTCTATAAATCACACATCTTTCTTACAGTTCATAGGATAAGATTTGTGCTCTCTTTCAAAGCCAGAATACTAAGAGGCTTGACGTACTTATCAGTCACATGCAGGAAGTCCCACCTTTAAACTTCCTGTTGTGCTTTTTTGGCTGGAGAGGTGCTCACAGACAGTCTGTCAAGGTGGCTGACTGGTTCCTTTTGGGTTCAAAGTCCCTCCCTGCCTCTCATGATAATGGCAGCCTCCTTGATAATGGCACTCAATGAAATTGCTGAGCAGTCGGGTTAGAACAGATAAAAGTAAGTCCTTCTTCACCCAAAGAGTGATTAACACATGGAATTCACTGCCACAGGAAGTGGTGGCGGCTACAAGCATGGACGGCTTCAAGAGGGAATTAGATAAGCATATGGAGCAGAGATCCATCAGTGGCTATTAGCCACAAGGTATGGATAGGAACTCACAGGCTGGGGCAGGTGATGCACTGTCTTCTTGGTGCTTGGGGGGGGGGCAACAGTGGGAGGGCTTCTAGTGCCCTGGCCTCACTGCTGGACCTCCTGAGGGCACCTGGTATTTTTGGCCACTGTGTGACACAGAGGGTTGGACTGGATGGGCCTTTGGCCTGATCCAACATTGGCGTCTCTTATGTTCTCATGTTCCTCTTCCCCAGAGCTCTCCGAATGTCAGGGGAAGCTTCAGGAGCTCAACCAGATGCTGCAGAATTTGGAGTCTCTCCACCGCATCCCTTCCGCACCCATCATCTCCCACAGCCAGGTATGCACGGGAACAGCAGTGGCATTTCCACTTTGCAGAGAGCCTAGATGTGTTGTCATTGCTGTTGCCTGTGTGGCAGAGCACGTCCTTTGCGCACAGGAGGTACCCAGTTCAATCCCTGGTGTCTCTAGCAAAGGAAATACTTGTATCAGCCTGCAAGCTGCTGCTGTTCAAATTAGGACGAGGGAGACAAAGGTCCAAGTCTCCGCTCTGCCACAGAAGGCCGCTGGGTGACCTTAGGCCCAGTCACTCTTTTTCGGCGTGAACTACCTTGCAAGGCTGTTGTGGGCTATAAATGGAGGAGGGAAGAAATGATGTACTCACCCTGTGCCCCTTGGAGGAAGGGCAGGATAATAATGCCCCAAATAAATGGGACCAGCGGTCTGATGTAGTTATCAGGAATGTAGTGACCAGCAGTGTCTCACGAACGTTCCTCCCCTGCCACAGGTTCTGTTAGTCTTTAAGGTGCTACTGGACTCTTGCTTTTTTCTGCTGCTACAGACCGACTAACACAGCTATCCACCTGGATCTACCAACATATGCATACTGGTCCAAGAATAACACAGCTGTTTTTGTGCCTTTGGTTCTATCTGGGCCAATGGCTTGTGTGTGTGCATACATCTGCTGTACATACATGCGTACATCTCCTGCCAAGGCCACATCTTTTGGGATCTAGGATGCAGATGTGTACATTGGCTGGGAGGTCACACCCACTGGCATCTATCTGCTGCAATGCCTGCTGAAACAGGGGTTCTTGGGAAGGTGGCCGTGCAACCCATTCGGGTGGGTAATAGGAGACTTTTTCTTATTTTTGTAGAGCTCGACAGGCACAGAGAGAACCCGGAAGGGGAAGAGATCCACCCGGATCTGGTGCACTCAGAGCTTTGCGAAGGATGACACCATAGGCCGGGTGAGCTGATTTGGGACAGGTGGTTTGGGGGAAGGAAGGGCAGCCTTTCTCATTTGAAGCAGATTTCCCCCCCTGCATGCCGTTTTTGAGAGCAAAGAACTTTTCCTGTGACAGAGCAGGGAAAGATTTAGTGAGCTACAGCAAGGCATGGAGGGGAGGGGTGGGGTGGGGAGTTGCTCTATCTAGTTTTCTGGTTTTCTGTTTTCGACAGGTGGGCCGCCTGCACGGCTCGGTGCCGAACCTCTCAAGGTATTTGGAATCGTGTCCGAACCAAGCCCTCTTCAGCCTCCCTCCAGAATACAGCCAGCTCCAGCGGAGTTTCTGGATCTTAGCTCAGAAAGGTGAACTTGTAGTAAGCACTCGTTACCTATTACGGTTGTGCTACTCAGGGTGTTTTAATGGTGCCGGCCATTTTGCATGCACACCTAGGTATAAATAAGCACGGCTTGTTCTGCTTCTGCTAGTGGCGGGGAGTGCGGCAGGAGACCAGAGGCCTGCCTTCTCTTCTTTCCCCTCTCCCGAGCGGTGCCAGTCTTTGTGATCTTAAGGAGCAGAAACTTGGGCTTTGCGAAAACAAAGCTACTGATTCTCCAACTTGTGTCTCGTGGCTGAATTCATAAGAGAAGCCATGTTGTATCAGGCCAGTGGCCCATCCAGTCCAACATTCTGTGTCACACACACCGTGGCCAAAACCCAGGTGCCATCAGGAGGTCCATCAGCAGGGCCAGAACTCCAGAAGCCCTCCCACTGTGTCCCCCCCCCCCAAGCCCCAAGAATACAGAGCATCACTTGCCCCAGACTGAGTTTTCCATCCATACCTTGTGGCTAATAGCCACTGATGGACCTCTGCTCCATAGGTTTCTCCAATCCCCTCTTGAAACTGTCTATGCTTGTAGCCACCACCACTTCCTGTGGCAGTGAGTTCCATGTGTTCATTACTCTTCAGGTGAAGAAGTACTTCCACAAACGTTTGTGTGTTTCTGCCTCTTCCTCCCTCCCTAGTTCACGGGTCCCTCAGCAGCGTGTTGGCCATGCTGGCTGCGGAGCGGGATCGCCTCCAGGAACTGCAGAGGACGCTGGAGCAGCAGCATTCCACCGCAGCCTCTGCGCAAGGTGGCCGGGGGAGTGGCATTGGTATTGCTGCGGTGGGGGTAAGTTGCCACTGTCCTCAAGCAGGTTTACCAATTGATTCCCTGGTTCAAGAGTTTAGCAGAGACCATCCCTCCCTGCCCCCCGCCATGTCAGAAATCATAAGAAAGATGAGAGTTCCTTTGAGTATGTGCAGAATGCTTTTCCTGGGCTCGTGTGTCAGTACAAGCATCACAGACGCGTGTCCTGGTGAATAGTAAAAAGCCCAGTAGCACTTTTAAGACTAACAAACTTCATTGTAGCATAAGCCTTTGAGAAACACAGCTCTCTTTGTCAGATGCATCTGATAAAGAGAGCTGTGTTTCTCAAAAGCTTATGCTACAATGAAGTTCGTTAGTCGTCCTTAAGGTGCTACTGGGCTTTTTACTATTTTGCAGCAACAGACGAACACAGCTAACTCCTCTGGATCCATGTCCTGGTTAGAATGTTGTCCAGTCAAAGAGGAGTCCAGTGACACCTTAAAGATTAGCAGAATTTATTCCTGCAGACATTTTTGTGAGTCACAGCTCAGTTCATCAGCGACAAGACGCCCTGCCCTTAGGAAGATGTGTGACTGTAAAGCTGCAGAAAACAAAGGGGGGGGGAGGAAGAGAGGTTTATTTTTAATAACTGTGAGAAATGACAGGTCCTTGTAGGGATGCCAGCCTCCAGGTGGGGCCTGGCGATCTCATCTCCAAGTTACAGAGATCAGTTCCCCTGGAGAAAACGGATGCTTTGGAGGGCAGACTGATGGCATTGTACCCCACTGGGGTCCCTGTCCTCCCCAGGCTCCATCCCCAAATCTCCAGGAGTTTCCCAACCTGGATTTGGCAACCATTCCCCGCCAGGAGGGACCTGGCAACTCTAGGTCCTTGTTGACGCCTGCTGAGAGACACTAGCCCTGTTCACAAGTTACAATTAATGCATGTACAATCTGTGTATAGTATACACTAGATTTTTTTTAATTCTCATGTTCTATTAAAAGCATTTGTACAGCTGAACACGCAGTACAAACCCCACATTTATCCAGGTACTGGCCCCCAGTTTCATTTGTCAACTGGACAATGTTGGCTCTTCCTTACAAACAGATGTTAGGCATGTAGATGCAAGATGTGTTAAATTCACTCTGAAGGCTGAGGCAGGGGACAGCACATAGTCCTCCGCTTCCAACAAGATGTATGTGTGTGTGCAATGTATCTTGTGTACAGGACTAGTATTAAACTTTTCTATGAATGCCAATTCGGCCCCCAGTTTCATTTGTCAACTGGACAATGTTGGCTCTTCTTTACAAACAGATGTTAGTCATGTAGATGCAAGATGTGTTAAGTTCACTCTGAAGGCTGAGGCAGGGGACAGCGCATAATCTTGTGTACAGGGCTAGTATTAAACTTCTCTATGAATGCCAATTTTGGCAATTTCCCATTGGATTCTCCCTTTGATGGAGAAAAAAAGTTACTTTCAAGTCAGCAAAAAACACCACCACCCTACTCTGGAAAATTAAAATGTTCCCCCAAACACACTACTTCCAAGCAATGTTCTGTCTAAGCTGAGTTAGTGTGAGCTATCTCACAGTTTTTTAGCCTCTGACTCATACATTTTTGTCTTAGCTCAGGAAGGATGGCTCCAAAGCAAACTGATTTATGCAGTAGCCAAGTCACCTGCTCGCAACTGTAATGCTCGCTCGCTCACAACTTCAATGCCAGCAGCTCACAAAGTAGAATTTTTGCTCACAAGGCTCCACAGCTTAGAGGGAGCATTGCTTCCAAGCACTGCAGTTTTTAATGCCAGGTTTCTGTGGCCAGTTTGTCCGTTATAGAGAGCAGAAAGGCACTGTTGATACATTATGGTACTCAGGGCAATTTTTGCAGAAAAAGCCTACCAGGAACTCATTAGCATAATAGGCCACACCCAACAGCAGGAACTCATTAGCATTTTGGGCTACACCCCTGACAGCACAGCTCATTAGCACATTAGGCCGCACCAAGTGTGGTTATCCAGCCACACCCACCTTTTGCTTGTTATTCTGTTTACCTTGTTTGTTGTCAAAACCCAGGGCTTTTTTTTGTAGCAGGAACTCCTTTGCATGTTAGGCCACACACCCCTAATGTAGCCAATTTTTTTTACTGGGCTTTGGAGGTGATTCTGACCTGAAGGGAACAGTCTGAAGGGTGGTAAACCTGTTTTGCCCGCCTGTGCTTCTGGCCACTCGTTTAGATAGCAGTTTATACAGTGCCGCAGAGCATAGGGGTGTCAACAGGGTAACCAAAGGCAGCCTCTCTGAGAACAAGTGTGGTGTGACAGTTAAAGTGTTGAGCTAGGATCTGAGTAATCCAGGTTCGAATCCTTACTGTGCTGTGAAGCTCACTAGGTGATTTTTACGCCACTTTTGGCCCCACAGGCTTGCTGTGAGGATAAAATGGAGGAGGGGTGAGAGCCAGATATTGATTCCTTGCGCTCCTTCGAGGAGGAGAAGAAAATGAGGAAGAGAGTGGATTTATACCCCACCCTTCACTACCCGAAGGAGTCTCAGAGTGGCTTACAATCTCCTTTCCTTTCCCCTCCCCACAACAGATACCCTGTGAGGCAGGTGGGGCTGGGAGAGCTCTTTTGAGAACTGCCCTTGATATAACAGCTCTGAGAGGACTTGTGACTGACCCAAGGTCACACCAGCAGCTGCAAGTGGAGGAATGGGGGAATCAGACCCGGTCCTCCCAGATTAGAGTCCGCGCACCTAACCGCTACACCAAACTGGCTCTCAACACCAGACTGGGATAGACCTGCGCAAGAGAGATATTCAGTGGCAGTATACCTCTGCATACTGGACAAGTATGGTGCAGTGGTTAAAGTGTCAGACTAGGACCTGGGGAATCTAGGTTCACATCCCCACTTGTGCCGTGGCAGCTTGCTGGGTCCCCTTGAGCCAGTCGCACGCATTCAGCCTGACCTACCTCACAGGGTTGTTATGAGCATAAAGTGGAGGAGGGAAGAATGATGGGAACCACTTTGGGTCCCTCACTGGCAGGCCCGTAGCCAGGATTTTGTGGCTTCTGGGGCAATTTTTTTTTCTAGCGGGGCTGAAGTTCTCCGTGCAGAAAGAGAAGCCGTTTAGCCAAGATAGATCTCTAAACTGCAATCCGTCCACTACTTTAGATGACAACGCTCAGCTGCTGCAAGTTAATCACTTCTGTCAGCCTAAGCAACAGTTTTTATAACAAGCCGGCAGGTGGGGGTGATGACTTCCATAGTTAAGAAAGCTAACACTTAGGCAGAAAAATTCCCTTAAAGGAGACCAGTTTCTTGACACAGAGTTAGAAGGGATCCTAGAGGTCACCTACTCCAACCTCCTTGCTCGGTGCGAGAATTAGTCAACTACAGCACCCCACTCTGCTTAAAGGAGTGCATGTCTTTTTAAAACGATTGAAAAAAGCATTTACAGGAGAAATTCATGTGGGGCCTTGCCTTGAAGAAAGGGGGCAGAGCTGCCAAAAGCCCCACTGTAGCTATGGGCCTGCCCATTGGGGTGAAAGGCAGGATATCAATAAACTAAAAAATCAATGACAACAACCTACTGTCCGTTAAGGAAACAATTCTTCGATGGACTTCAGTGCACCTTAGTGTTTCCTAACAAATTCCAAAGCACTTTGGAGAAAACCAATGAGGATTGCTTGGCTGAAGCATTTGCGTTTCTGTCTTTTAGAATGGCCTGCTGCAGTGTCCTGATCTCACGCCAAGGTCTTCTTTCTCTGTCCTGCAGCCAAATAGTGTGCTGGTGAAAGGCCAGGAGCAGCATCAGCTGTCCAATCGCAGCATCGTGTCCCTCTCAGACTCGCACACAGAGTTTTTCGATGCGTGCGAAGTTTTCCTGTCTGCCAGCTCATCTGAGAATGAGGTTAGTGGACATGTTTGCAAAGGGGCTCTCTTCTGAGGACAGTTTAAGGACTTTCCTTATCCCTGCATATCTTAACACCCATCGCCATTCTCCGGGGCATCCCCTCTGTGCTATAGAATCCTAGAGCTGGAAGGGATCTCAGGGTCATCTAGTCCAACCCCTTGCACAGTGCAGGAAATTCACAATCCCCCCCCCCCGCCACAGAAGAAAGCAAAAAACCCTCCAGGAACCCTACGGATCACATCCTTGGCAAGCGGGTGGAGACTGTCATGGATGGTGTAGATCTGTGTCGTTTCTACAGGATATCGGTCTTGAAAGCTGGGAAGAATGATTTGCCACGTTTGTTTTCAATGTTCCCAGCTGCAGCAGCTCCAGGCCAGCGTGGGCAGGTTTGGGTGAAGCAACATCACCCCCTGCTGATGCCTTGAAGAATAGCCGCTGGATGCACCGCAGTGCACATGTGTTGCTCAGTTAATTCTGTGCACTGTTTGTATCACACACACACACAAACTCCAGATATTCTGCTGAGATTGATATATAAGACTGGGGGGGGGGAGAGGGTGGGATGAAAACAGGACAACCTGCCTAGAGGTGAAGGGAATGGACTCATCTGTACTAATGAATCCTAAACTATAGGGTTTCCATGTCAGGCGAAAAAGGATGTTTTAAAATAAGCATAATTGCATCACCGTTTCTTTGTACTACTTTCTTCATTTCTTTTCTCTTTTCTCTCTCCTCCTTTGTGTATTAGCTAGCAGTCCAGCCACTGCCCCCTGCTTAGAAGTTGTTCTCCCCCCCCCTTCCCCAATGGCCCGTGTCCACCCCCCACTTCCCATATACACTCCCACAAATCTTTATTTCTCACAGTCTTCCTCCCTTTGCCTACAGTTATAACCAGAAGGTGCAGGTTTTGCAGAATGCACGTGCTCTACACATCTACCTAGTTTCAGTGTGAGAAATGAGAAGGAAGGGCCTAAGTCAACACTTCTAGTGGGGTTGTTAGTGGCCCGAATCCCATAATTCCCTGGGGCTCAAGGTACTTCCTGTGAGCCCTGGAGGGATCTCAGAATGTGAAGGGTCTGCTCTTTCCAAACTAGGCCTTCTGTTTTGAGACCTCTTATGCTGGCTTCTCCTTTTTTAACTAAGATCTTCAAAGTGTAGCCTCGGAGATCCCTGGGAAATATTCATCTTTCTGGGGTTCTCTGCTTTGTCCTTTTGTCCATTTTTTTCAGCTCATGTAGAATTGGTCTCCATTTGACACGAAGCATCAGACTGTGATGAGTTCAGTCATCTTCCTGCATGCTCACGAGGGTGGGTTTGAGGTCTTGATCTGTGCTTTCCCATAATTTGGGAGGCTGGGATTAGGTCTGCCAGCCTCCAGATGGGATAAACCGAGAAGGGATCACAGTTGTCCATATAGGAGATACACCAAACAAACAAACACTGTGATGCAAGTGACAAAGACATTTAGTAAATCTTTTTCAAGGTAAACATCATATTACGTTGTAAATAAAGGTCTGCAATATTACATGGAAAAGTCCATCATTCTCATTACAATATAAATGTAACTTTGCAATATTACGAGGAAAAGTCCGTCATAGGAGGCTTTTGCACCTAGTTGAAGAAAGGAAGACTGGCTTGCTGCTTATACAAACACTTGAAATGCAACCAGAAGTAAGTTCTAAAAAGTTCTTTTAAAAAAATCAAAAACTCTTGACAAAATTTTTAAAATATTAAAAATTCCATTCAGCTTCATGTTGATTTTTATTTTAAATAATCGGGGTCCCCCCCCCTGGATAATTTGAAGAAAGCAAAGAAGACATTAAGCACTGGTTTGCTTCTAACATAACACTGAGCTGTGTCAAGAGGCTGACACCTTTCAGCATAATAGGATTACTCCTGAGGAAGACTGGGACGAAACGAGTTTATATCCGGGTGCTCATTGAAAAAGATGGACTTTTCCTTGTAGTATTGCAAACTTTTATTTATAGTGTAATACAGGACTTTTTTGTAGAAAAAGTTCAGTTAGCATAATAGGCCACACCCAACAGCAGAAACTCATTAGCATATTAGGCCACACCCCTGACAGCACAGCTCATTAGCTTATCAGGCCGCACCCCATGCCTTCCCTTGGCTTGCCCAGGCACCCCGTGGCTGCAGGGAGCCCGGGCAAGCCGGCCCTTAAAGGGTAGGGAAGGCATTTTAAACTGCCTTCCCTTGGCTTGCCCGGGCGCCCCGTGGCTGCGGAGTGCCCGGACAAGCTGGCCCTTGGACAGGCTGTGGAAGGCATGGGGAAGCATTTAAATGCCTCCCCGATCCTTCCAGGGCCCCCCTGGCCTGCCTGCCTAGGAGTTGCCGGGGGGGGGGTGTCGCTGTAGTAGGCGTGGCCTCCGTTCCTGTGTGTTCCTGCCCAAAAATAGCCCTGGGTAATACGATGTTTACCTTGAAAAAGTTTTACTAGATGTCTTTGTCATTCACATCACAGTGTTTGTTTGTTTGGTGTATCTCCTATATGGACAACTGTCTGTGATCCCTTCTTGGTTTATCCCATCTGGAGGCTGGCAGACCTAATCCCAGCCTCCCAAATTACATCACCGTGTTTGTTTGTTTGGTGAGCCTCCAGGTGGGGGGTGGAGGTCTCCAGGAATTACAGCTGGTCTCCAGACTCCATAGATAGCTTATTTATTCATTTAAGACCTTTATTCCACTTCTCCTGGAGAAAATGGCCGCTCTGGAAGGCGGACTCTATGGCATTATACCCCACTGAGGTCCCTCCCACCCCTTAAGCCCATCTTCCTGGGCTCCACCCTGAAACCTCCAGGTCTGTCCGAACCCAGAGCTGGCAACCCTGGCGAGGATACTCGAGGGCCTGTGGCTCCCTGACTGTCTCCCCCATCCACTTTCAGATCTTGATCAGGACTGGGAATAAGGGTTACGTGGACTATATTCATACTCTTGTTCTCAATCAAGGTGGAGTTTGTCTCCCGCCAGTCACACTTTCTGAGCATCCCTTTGGGTGCTCTGCAGAATGGAATCCTCTCCCCCTCCCGGAAGGTTGGCTCTCCGATCGATTCGCCTCACGGGTCACCCACACTGAAAAAGACACCCTCGATTTAATGACCTCGTCCAGTCCCTCGGACCCTGGTCCTGCCTTAAGTCCCCTTCCTGCCAACACAGCCACCTCTTTCTCTCCTGGTGCTCCTACTCCGGGCGAACCATGTCTTTCCCTTTGGCTTGTGTAACCTCTGTTGCTCCTCTAGGCTACAGATGACGAATCCTGCCTCAGCGAGGTGACCAACAGTCTCTTCGAGGAGGCGACCAACATGGCGGGAATGCCTGCCCGTTGCCCAAAAGGTACTTGGAAAACAGCCAGGTGGCCTTTGGCGGGGAGAGGAGTTAGGGAGGTGTGGCTGGCTGGGGGCGGGGGCTGGATACTAGAGGTGGCAGATGAGGCGCTGGAGTGCTGTGGCCCTAGAAAGATCCCGCTGGTTAAAGGTTACCCCGTGGTGCCTGATGGCATATTGACCCTGCAAAATAAAGGCTGAACCGAATGTAGCGTTGAAGAGCAGCACTTTCCAAATGTGTACTTCAATTGCAAAAAACAATTGTGGGACAATTATTTGGGACAGTTATTTGGAACAGCGCTCCAGTGCTGGGGAATGGGGGTGAGGTTAGTTCTTTCCCCTTCTTCATTGTTCCCCTGGTTGGAAAAGGCCCCCTAGATTGCTTGAAGCTCCACAAGGTGAAAATGACAAAAGTTCATAAGAACGTAAGAGAAGCCATATTGGATCGATCCAGTGGCCCATCCAGTCCAACACTCCGTGTCACACAATGGCCAAAACCATCAGGAGGTCCACCACCGGGGCCGTAAGAACATAAAAGAAGCCATGCTGGATCAGGCCAATGGCCCATCCAGTCCAACACTCTGTGTGTCACACAGTGGCCAAAACCCCGGTGCCATCAAGAGGTCCACTAGCGGGGCCAGAACCCCAGATGCCCTCCTGCCCTGCCCTCCAAGCACCAAGAACACAGAGCATCACTGCCCCAGATATTCTGTTCCATCTATACCTTGTGGCTAATAGCCACTGATGGACCTCTGCTCCACATGTTTCTCCAATCCCCTCTTGAAGTTGTCTGTGCTTGTAGCCACCACCACTTCCTGTGGCAGTGAATTCCACGTGTTAACTACTCTCTGGGTGAAGTCCTTCCTTTAATCGGTTCTATGCCTCCTGCTCATTAATTTCGTTGGGTGCCCACAAGTTCTGGTACTGTGAGAAAGGGAGAAAAGGACTTCTTTCTCTGCCTTCTCTATCCCATGCATAATTCTGTAAACATACTGTCTTTGTGTCCCTCCTGGGATCCAAAACATCTAAGTAAGCCATTTCCAAAACAGGAAAGGGAAGGGAGGGGTTTTAGGCCAGATCCATGTCACCCTCTTCCTTGGGCCTGTTTTGTTGTACTTGAAGGTTGATTGCTTCAACATGTTGTTCACAAGGTGTGAGCTCGTGCACCAACCACACTACCGTCGCAAGTGCTTCCCTGCGCACAGCAGTAGAGCATGAGCGGAACTGCGATGAGCTCACGAAATGTTCCATGCGCGCTGAGTAGGGCGGAACCCGGAGCTGAGACTTGACAATAGCTCCTGGCGTGTTTCCTCGACAGGCCTGAGCACGATTCGTTGTTTCGAGGACCCCTCTGAGGGGAGCCTAGGATTGCCGGCGTCTCTCCCTTTGTACCTCCCCGGGCCGGGTTCTGGAATTTCGCGGCGCAACTGTCTCCCGGTCTCCCACGTCCACACCAGCGACGTCAGCCTGTGGAACATCCTCCGCAACAACATTGGCAAAGACCTCTCCAAGGTGTCCATGCCGGTTCAGCTGAACGAGCCCCTCAATACGCTACAACGTCTTTGCGAGGAACTGGAGTACAGCTCCCTGCTGGATGCGGCTGGATGCAGCCCGGACCCCTGTGAAAGACTGGTATCTGCCTTATTCTCCACCCCCTTTCCCCCCTGCCCGTATCGGAATGAGAGATGCAGTGGGGAGGCAAGAATGTCTTTGGTACTTTCACGTTTGCGTGACCAGTTCCTGACAAAGAGAGGCCTTTTCACCTGGACTCTTGATCTGTCTATGTCACATTTTAATCTTACCTATACCTGCCCTTCACTACCCCAAGGAGTCTCAGAGTGGCTCACAATCTCCTTTCCCCTCCCCTCCCCACAACAGACACCCTGTGAGGTAGGTGGGGCTGAGAGAGCCCTTCCGAGAACTGCTCCTAAGAGAACAGCTCTGAGAGAACTTGTGACTGATCCAAGGTCACACCAGCAGCTGCACGTGGAGGAGTGGGGAATCAAACCCAGTTCTCCCAGATTAGAGTCTGTGCTCCTAACCATGACACCAAACTGTCTGTGGTTCTCCTCTCCTCTGTTTTATTCTCACAAGGGCCCCGTAGCGCAGGCTAGGCTGAGAGAGAGAGTGAGTGGCCAATGGACACCTGATGGGCTCCATGGCATAGCAAGGATTTGAACCAGGGTCACCCTAGTCCTCAGTCCAGCACTCTAATCAATATACATTACTTCCATGCTCTTCTGCTCCACACCCAGGCAGCGCGGGGGGTCTTTGTGGCTTCTTCTTTTTTCCTCTCTTTGCTCACAAAGCCTTGTCTAACCCTGTATGTAAGGTGAGTTCTTAAACATGGCGATGGCATGAGTACAAAGAGAGTGCCTCTGAGCACGTGCAGGGAACCTTCTCACTAATTGCCGGCACACTTTATCGATTGAGAGATGATAAATTTAATTCCATGGCCTGACCTGACACCTCAGTACTAGCTGACTTTGCCCCGACCTGGGTAGCCCAGGCAAGCCCGTTCTCCTCAGATATTAGAGGCTAAGCAGAGCCGATGCTGGCAAGTACCTTCTTCTTTTTTCCTCTCTTTGCTCACAAAGCCTTGTCTAACCCTGTATGTAAGGTGAGTTCTTAAACATGGCGATGGCATGAGTACAAAGAGAGTGCCTCTGAGCACGTGCAGGGAACCTTCTCACTAATTGCCGGCACACTTTATCGATTGAGAGATGATAAATTTAATTCCATGGCCTGGCCTGACACCTCAGTACTAGCTGACTTTGCCCCGACCTGGGTAGCCCGGGCAAGCCTGATCTCCTCAGATATTAGGGGCTAAGCAGAGCCGATGATGGCAAGTACTTGGATGGGAGACCCCCAAAGAATACCAGGGCCGGGAGGCAGAGGCAGGCTATCCAGCCACTTCTCTGAACAACCTCCATGCCCCAGCAGGAGTCGCCAGGGGTCGCTATGACCTCCAGGCACAGGGGCACAAACACACACACACACAAAATGCAAAAATATTTTTTAAAAAACTAGCTGAGTTTAAGAGAAGAGTTCCACTAGGTAGACAAGAATTCCAGTGCAGTAGCCGTGGCAGTCCACTGCAATGAAACAGGAGCCTGGTGGCTCCTTAAAGACTAGCAAATTGTATCCCAGCATGATCTTTCGTAAGTCAGAGCTCACTTCATCAGATGCACTGGACTGTCCATCTGTAGCTGCGTTCCACTGAAGTGGATGTACACACTCCAGTGCATCTGACAAAGTGAGCTCTGGCTCACTAAAGCCTAGGCTAGAACACATGTTGTTAGCCTTCACTTTAGAGCCAGCATGGTGTAGTGGCTAAGAGCGGTGGGCTCTAATCTGGAGAACTGGGTTCAGTTCCGCACTCCTCCACATGAAGCCAGCCGGGTGAGCTTGGATCAGTCACAGCTCTCTCAAAGCTCTCTCAGCCTAAAAAGTAAGTCTAGCTCTCCATCTAGTGGTGCATAACGCTAAAAACAGCTAGTACTTTAGGCAGCCGGACAATCTTAGGATCTCCTGGCTATACCACACACAATGCCATACAATAATTATAATAATAATTACTCTAGACTCCTCTTTAATTTAGATAGAGAGGGGCTATGGCTCAGTGGTAGAGCCTCTGCTTGGCACACAGTCCCAGGTTCAATCCCCGGCATCTCCAGTTTGAAAGGACCAGGCAGGAGGTGATGTGAAAGACCTCAGCCTGAGACTCAGGAGAGCTGCTGCCTGTCTGAGTAGAAAACACAGACTCTGATGGACCGAGGGTCAGATTCAGTATAAGGCAACTTCATGTGATGAGAACCTGCCCCACCTTTTCCTACCATCACCATGGTGTAGTGGTTAAGAGTGGCGGACTCTAATCTGGAGATCCGGGTTTGATTCCCCAGTCCTCCTCCACATGAACCCAGCTGGGTGACCTTAGGCCAGTCACAGTTCTCTCTCAGAGCTCCCTCAGCCCCACCTACCTCACAGGGTGCCTGTTATGGGGAGGGGAAGGGAAAGGCCATTGAAAGCTGCTCTGAGACTCCTTAGGATAGAGAAAAGCAGGGTATAAATGTCTAAATAAAGTCAGCATGGTGTAGTGGTTAAGAGTGACAGATTCTAATCTGGAGATCCGGGTTTGGTTCCCCAGTCCTCCTCCACATGAAACCAGCTGGGTGACCTTAGGCCAGTCACAGTTCTCTCTCAGAGCTCTCTCAGCCCCACCTACCTCTCAGGGTGCCTGTTATGGGGAGGGGAAGGGAAAGGCAATTGTAAGCCACTTTGAGACACATGAGGCCTGCTGGATGACCCTGGGTCAATCACAGTTCTCTCTCAGAGCTCTCTCAGCCCCACCTACCTCACAGGGTGTCTCTCGTGGGAGGAGAGGAAGGGAAGCTGCTCTGAGACTCCTTCAGGTAGTGAAGGGCAGAGTATAAATCCAATCTCTTCTTCTTCTTTATCGCCCTCATGAATCATCTCTCCTTTCTCACAGCTCTGCATGGCCGCCTTTGCCGTCTCAGCTTATGCCTCCACCTACTTCCGCGCTGGCAGCAAGCCATTCAACCCTGTGCTGGGGGAGACGTACGAATGTGTGCGGCCAGACAAGGGCTTTTGTTTCATAAGCGAGCAGGTAAGGAACTGGTGGCGTGGTGGTGGTGGGGGGGCTTGGCAGGACAGAGAAGGATACAACTCCGCCAAGCCACGCGGCAAATCCTTCGCCCTACAACCCAGAGGGGTGAGGGAAGGTGGCCTCTGTCACGGAAAGGAGCTCTGCTTCCTATGGCTGGTTCCCTTCGGCGGAGAGGCCAGCGGAGGGTTATATTTGCTCTACGTCCAAATGGATTAAGAAGACTTAGTTGCAGCTTATCCAGGGACCCGCTCAAGGCAGCTGGCGTCATAAATTCATACCCCTCATTAAAATTTAACAAACTATTTAAAAAAATCTTCCTGGAGCATAAAAACAGCATAAAACCTTGAAGAGCTTAAAATAATCCTTGTAAAACAGTCTCCAGGCTAGATCCGGATGGGTTGCCATGTCCGTCTGTCTGTAGCAGGAGAAAGGAGCAAGAGTCCAGGAGTACCTTAAAGACTAACCAAATCTGTGGCAGGGGATGAACTTTTGTGAGTCACCGCTCAGTTCTTCAGATACCTTTTTTAATTCTCAGTCCCTTTTGTCAGACTCCTGCAGCAATCAGATCCAACAACTCTCTTCTTCTGATGTACAGTTTATTGGTACAGTATTGGCAGAGCATCTACATTCCAGGATCTGTGTTAAGACTAATGGAAAAGGTGTGGGGATGGGAGATATACTGGGTTCAAAGGGGTACCCTGATGACGGGTAGCCAATCAAGGCATTAGGAGGAGCCCGACAGAAGTAACGGGCCCTGGCAATGGGTTCTCCGGGAATGTGTTACAACTAGGCATTCAAGGTCAGGCACATAAAATACAGAGATAACAGAGTATTGTCGGGCAGTAAGAATCTAAAGTTAAAATACCAGGCAGTGGTCACTCCCCTCCTCCACCCTATATGTCAGCTCCCTGACACCTTTGGAATAATGTTCATTCCTCTGCATTTGGTGAGAAAGGTGATATGTGTTTGTACATGTGCAAGTTTCTTCACAGGGCTATTCGATTTCCATTCTGTATGGCTAAATGTGGTGCCTTCTATGGAGATAGATCAAGATGGGTGGCTGTGTTTGTCTGTAGCAGTAGAAAAGAGCAATGCCTTAAAGACTACCAAAATTTGTGGCAGGGGAGGAGCTTTCCTGAGTCACTGCTGACTGCTTCAGATATCTTCAGGTGACTGAAGAAGTGAACAGTGACTCACGAATGTTCATGTCCCGCCACGAATTTTGTTAGTCTTTAGGCTAGAAGCAGATAATTAAAAAAAAAAAGTGTCCAGATCATTTAAAATAAATGAAACCCTTCATTTAAAAGCCTGGGTAAAAAGAAATGTTTAAGCCTGGTACCTAAGAGAAGAGGGTAGGCACCAGGCAAGCCTCAAGGGGGCGACATTCCACAAGCAAGGGGCCACCACTGACAAAGCCCTTTCCCTGGTAACCACCCGGCTCTTGTCTGCTGGCATGAGGATTGTAACTTTTTTAAATGTTTTGTTGTATTGAAGCATAGCTGGGGAAAACTGAACTATTGCAGAGGGCTTTCCTGTGCAGATAAATAGGGTTGCACTGCACAAAATGGTTTTTACAAACCTGCTTGGATAAGAGATTAGGGACTGTGATCTACACCGTGGTGTTTAGCTTATGGTATGTAGGATCCTATTTATGTAATTTCTGTACTGCCTGATGTGTCACGTGAATACTTATGCTTATGGTAGATTCAAGGGGGTAGCCGTGTGGGTCTGAAGCAGCAGCAACGTTTGAGTCCAGTGGCATCTTTAAGACCAACCAAGTTTTATTCTGGATATCAGCTTTCATGTGCTTCCGCTTCTGTTCCTTCTGGTGGTTCCAGACTTCTAATCTCCTAACGCGTTGGTTATGGAATGTCTAATTTTTGTGATTGCGCTGGTTCACTGTGTGTAATGCACCTCTGAGTCCCTGTGAGAAAGTTGGACTATAAACAATGTAGAGAGAGAGAGAGAGCAAGAAAGGGAGGGGAAGGAAGGAAGGAAGGAAGGGAGGAAGGGGAGGAGGGAAGGAAGGAGGGGAAGGGAAGGAAGGGAAGGAAGGGAAGGAAGGGAAGGAAGGGAAGGAAGGAAGGAAGGAAGGTTCGTACAAGGCAGCAGATCCACAATCCCACATCAGATTCCCCAGACAGGAATGCTGCATCCCAGGGTTTTCCCCCAGAAGAAGGAAAAAACTAAAGGAGGGCAAGAAAGAAGAAAGGACAATGGCAGTGGGTGGGGGACACAGGTATTCCAAGTTCTTGTAAGGCTTGTGGCTGATCGTCTCCCTCCTGTCCCACCCTCCCCCCGTGATTGCAGGTGTGCCACCACCCACCCATCTCTGCCTGCCATGCTGAGTCCGATAACTTCGTTTTCTGGCAAGGTGAGGTCTCCAGGTAAAAACAACGATGTGAGGGGAGGGCAGGAGAGTCGCGACCTCTCCGAGGGAGAAGGGGGGCTGGGCTTTGCTCCTCAAGTCCGCGTCTCTCCAGATCGCTTGTCTAAGTTCACTCCTGGAGGCTGTTTTCAAAGTCTGGGCACAATCCTTGAACATAAGAGGGGAAAGTGGGAGGACAAGTTGGTTTCTGAGCATGTGCCGAGTGCCTTTCCCTTGCCACTCAATAACCCTTAAATAAATAAATAAATGATCGTAGAGGCCAAGGTTTCTAGCTCAGGGGAATTGTGGCTTCCAGGAAGTATTGAACCTCAGCCCTTTTTGTTTTTTTTTCAGCGAGTAACAGCTAGGGTTTTCTGGGCTTCTGCCTGCTGCCGGGTCCGGTTTTCTGGGCTTCTGCCTGCTGCCGGCCAATTTCCCCCGCCCCCAAACAGCCACGTCCCCAACATGATGATGTCATCCAGAAGTGACATCATCGTATCGGCAACATCACAGGGGACGCTCTGGTTTGAGGGCAAAACTCTATGGTAAATTTGCCCTCAAACTAGATGTTGCTGATGCAATGATGTCACTTCCGGGTGACGTTCTTGCATCAGGGACATGGTGCGACATCCCTGCCCGCTCCAGGAACATTCCCCAAATTCCCCTGTTGGCAACAAGGTAGGACCTGGCAACCCTAGTAACAACTGCCTGGGTACTTGCTAGTATTCCCTTTGGCCTACTCTGTAGTTCAGCTTACATTCCAGAGACAGAGTAATGTGACTCACCTCTCTGGATTTTGTGTGTGTTTGCTTTAGGATTGCATCTGGAGATCGCTCACTATTGCAGTTCATCTCCAGATGACCAAGATCAATTCCCGTAGAGAAAATGGCTGCTTTGAAGAGTGGACTCCATAGCTTTAAAACCTGCTGAGGCCCCTCCCCAAACCCCACTCTCACTAAGCTCCACCCCCCCAACTCTCCAGCAATGTTCCCTCTAAGCTGTGGAGCCTTGTGAGCAAAAAAAATCCACTTTGTGAGTTACTGGCATTACAGTTGTGAGCGAGCCATTTGGCTACTGCATAAATTAGTTTGCTCTGGAGCCCTCCTTCCTGAGCTAAGACAAAAATGTGTGAGCCGGAGGTTAAAAAACTGTGAGTTAGCTCACACTAACTCAGCTTAGAGGATATTTCCCAGGCCGGAGTTGGCAGCCCAAGTTTGTCTGTTGTTGTTTTGTTTTCCCAGACATGAAGTGGAAAAACAAATTCTGGGGCAAATCTCTTGAGATAATCCCCGTGGGTACAGTCAACGTCCGGCTTCCTAGGTGAGATGCCAACCCTGCTCCCTGCCCTCGGTTCCACGTTGACTCCTCCTGCATCCCCAAACGTTAGATCTCTCTTCTTCTCCTCCTGCGGGCGGAAGGTTCGGGGACCACTACGAATGGAACAAGGTGACCTCCTGCATCCACAACATCCTCAGCGGTCAGCGCTGGATCGAGCATTACGGCGAGGTGCTGATCCGAAACACGCGAGACAGCACCTACCACTGCAAGATCACCTTCTGCAAAGTGAGCGCTGGCTTTGCTCCCCCCACCACCATTTTTGCACCACCTCTTTGGTGCCTTGATTTCCCACCCACCTCCCCTTGCTCTGACCCCGCTCTCTGACGTCTGAACTTCCCGTCTCTTTAACCACCTTCCGGTGTCCCAGGACTCCCTTGATCCTAACATCCGGCATGCTTGATAACGTTTTGATGTTCCTTTCTGGTGCCTGGAGTGTCTCCCCTTGATTTCCTTCGCCCTCTTCCCTGCCCAGGCTCTACTTCTGTTTTCTCTTTCCATCCTTCTGTACCGTTCTCTTCTCCCATAATCCCCTGTCTCTTGCAGTAGGTTCTTTGTTTGGTGTAGTGGTTAAGAAGGAGGGGGACTCTAATCTGGGGGAAGCGGGTTTGATTCCCCACTCCTCCACTTGCGCCTGGCTGGATGACCTTGGGCAAGTCATAGTTCTGATAAGAGCTGTTCTTGAAAAAGAGCAGTTTCTGTCAAGAGCTCTCTCAGCCCCACCTACCTCACAGGGTGTCTGTTGTGGGGAAAGGAAGGGAAAGGAGTTTGTAAGCCGCTCTGAGACACCTTTGGGTAGTGAAGGGCGGGGTATAAATCCAATCTCTTCTCTTCTTCTTCTTCTCCTTTGTCCCTTGTGATTTCTAGCTGTCCTCAAACACCCACACCCACCCCAGTTCCTGCAGTGCTGACACCAGATCTCCAGACTAGAGAGGCCAGCCTCCAGGTGGGACCCGGGCAATGTTCCCTCTAAGCTGTGGAGTCTTGTGAGCAAAAAAATCAACTTTGTGAGCTACTGGCATGAAAGCTGTGAGCGGGCGATTTGGCTGCTGCATAACTTAGTTTGCTCTGGAGCCCTCCTTCCTGAGCGAAGACAAAAACGTGTGAGCCGGAGGCTAAAAAACTGTGAGCTAGCTCACACTAACTCAGCTTAGAGGGAACACGGGGCCCGGGGGATCCCCCGGATTTACAGCTCCCCTTCAGACAACAGAGATCAGTTCCCCTGAAGAAAAGGGCTGCTTTGGAGGGTGGACTCTGTGTCATTGTATCCAGTGAGGTCCTCTCCAGGCTTCACACACCCCCGCCCATAGCCAGGATATTGCGGCTTGTGGGGCACAATTTTTTTCTGGTGGGGCTGCCATTATTTGCCATGGTGAAGGGGGGGTGGCACGTGCCCCTCTCCCTCCCCTCCTGCAAGATTTAAAGGGCCCTTCAGCTGATCGGCGGGGAGGATGTGGCCCGCCAATCTGCTGGAGGGCCCTCTAAATCTTGCAGGAGGGAGGGAGAGGGCCGTGCGCCTGCAGTCCAAGCTGCAAATTTGTGCCATCCCCCATTTCTTCTCAAAAGGGTTTAAAGAAACCCTTTAAATGCTTTTGGAAAGAAGCGGGGGGCCTTCAAGAAGTAGGGGGCTTTAAGGAAGGGGGCTGGCCCTTTAAGGAAGGGGGCGACGCCCCCAATAGCCCCACCGTAGCAACCCTACCCCTCACCCCGTGTCAGTGGCCGGGGGGACCTGGCAACCCGACCCCAAACTCTTCCTGTTACTCTTGGCTGTCTGTCTGTCTTCCTTTCCTGCTACCCCACCCATCAGTCTGCCATTCTACTACGTTTTCCTTTATCCTACCCGAACTGCATTTCCAGCAGATAGTGTGCAGCCATCTTCCCTGCCCTAACCCCTCCCTCCCCTCTCTGGCAGGCGCGGTACTGGGGTTCCGGGGTGAACGAAGTGCAGGGCGCCATTCTCAGCCATACCGGCAAAGTCGTCCACCGGCTCTTCGGGAAGTGGCACGACGGGCTGTATTGCGGTGTGGCCCCTCTCGGCAAGTGCATCTGGAGGCCCAGTAAGAAACCACCTGCGCCGAGGAGCGGGGTGATGGGAAATAGCGGCTACGCCCATCCTGTTTTAGGGAACCGAGGAGGCCTTGACCCTAAAGGCTGGGTGCATGCTACAATCTGAGAGACCCGTGATCTCAGCTTGGATTCCCAGAACGTTGCGTTTGGATGGGATTTGGGGGGCTTTGTTAATTGATTGGTTTTTATTTTTTATTTTTTTAATTCTTTATTATTAGGGAATTTTTACAAATATGTAATTTATCTCATCACAGTGTAATATAAAAGGTATAACGAAAAATAAGCTAAATAAGCCAAGAGAAGAGAGAGGAGAAATTCAACACAGGACCTAACGGGGCTTTATCCAACTGCATCTCTCTGCCATCTGCAATTGGATCCATCTCAAATCATTTCACCAATCTGAATCTTGCGGAGAAATAATTTATAAAACAATTGACTAATTGGGTCTCAATACATTGATATAGGGAGCTGCGGTGGCTCAAGTGGTTAAGACGCTGAACTGCAGGCTGTGGAAGGCCGGTAGTTCAGCAGTTCAAGACCCGGGTGCTCTCGTCTCTAGTTCCAGCTCCTGCCAACCTAGCAGTTTGAAAGCAAGAAATTGCAAGTAGATCAATAGGTACCACTTCGGTGGGAAGGTAACAGCGTTCCGTGCGCCTTGGTGTTTAGTCATGCCAGCCACATGACCACGGAAACATCTTCGGACAGCGCTGGCTCTTCAGCTTTGAAACGGAGATGAGCACCACAACCCTAGAGTCGGATTCGACTGGCTTTCAAGCAAGGGAACCTTTACCTTTTTACATTGATATAATTTGTAAATTTTAAGGAGGTCGAAAATGCAGCTTGGGCACAGAAATAATGCAAAACTAGAACGGTTATTGGAGACACAATTATATACAAATTTCTGCAATAAAATACTAATTTCTCACCTTTGAAAATGATGGACCAAAGCTCTCAGAATTACTAGTGTTAGATTGTAACTAGTGGTGTAGTGGTTAAGTGTGCAGACTCTAAACTGGGAGAACCGGGTTTGATTCCCCACTCCTCCACTTGCACCTGGCTGGATGACCTTGGGCAAGCCGTAGTTCTGATAAGAGCTGTCCTTGAAAGAGCAGTTTCTGTCAGAGCTTTCTGAGCCCCACTACCTCACAGGGTGTCTGTTGTGGGGAGGGGAAGGGAAAGGAGTTTGTAAACCACTCTGAGACTCCGAGTGAAGGGTAGGGTATAAATCCAATCTCTTCTTCTTCTTCAAACCCGGGAAATTTTACTAAGTATAGGGTGAACCTGAGTTCATATTCTAAGGTCCAGTGGAAGAGATCTTCTGAATAAGACTATTTTTCTCACTTCAAACAAAAGTTCAAGGATGCCATGGTTTCATATGTATGCAGTAAAATAGAAAGAATAATTAAATAAGTAAATATTCATAATAAATCTTGGCACAATTATCTCAGCAGGAGCTTTTGCTTGGTTTGGCCAGGGCTCAGTTGCAGTTTTTTCTGTCGTTTGAATCTTAGCATCTTTAGAAATTGGTGACTATATTGATTTTTAGATATTTATAGCCTGCTTCTCTCCTCGGTGGGGCCCCCAAAGTGGCTTATAACATCTGTTTTGTTCTTGCGACAACAACTTGGGTAAAGCAGGAGGGATTCAGGATGGGTTGGGCTCCAGCGGTTCCCCCCCCCCTCCACGGTGAGGCAGGTATTGAGATGACAGATTTTTCTCTGCATTAAAGGAGGCAAACGGATATCAATTCACTAAGTTCTTTTTGAAATGATTTGGTCCAGTGCAAGAACATCTAGCAGCAAAAAAAATCAAATGCAAGGACTCAAGCCAACTCTTGGCTGCATTAACTGCAGGATCGTAATTGGGTGAACTAATATGGAAACGGACTATGTGGTCCACCATGACCTTCTTTTAGCTGTCCTTGAACTGCATGTTCAGTTCTTATCCCCAGGGATGTAGGATAAGACCCTCTTCTCCCTGCCTCCAATATTTCTGGGTGGACAGGGTTAATGGGATGCAATATGGTACCTGTTTGGAGATCTGTGTCTCTGCCCATCTACCTGTTTCTTCTTCCCCCACCAGACCCCATGCCGCGGGACTACGAGAAGAATTACGGGTTTACTCAGTTTGCCTTGGAGCTCAATGAATTAACGCCGGAGCTCAAACACCTCTTGCCATCCACAGACACCCGGCTAAGGCCTGACCAACGGTGAGCGTTGAGGCCTATCGTTTCCTGTTTTGTTTTAACTAGTTAATATGAGTGATTCATATCCCTTCTTCCTGCCTATGCATTTGACTTCCTGGAATTTTACAATGGATAGGATCAGGGGTCATTTCGTAGAAAAAGAGGTGCAGGAGCTCATTAGCATAACTCATTAGCATAACTTATTTGCATATGCCACACCCCCTGACCGGGGGGTGTCAGAAGGCAACACCCACCGCTCAGGCTCCACTGGACTGTTTTGGATTGCTAGCTTTTGGGAGGGGGGGAACGTGCAGATCTGTCCTCGTAGAAGAGGGAGAGCTTGTACCTAAATAAAACTTGGTCTTAAAGGTGCCACTGGACTGTTTTGGATTGCTAGCTATGGGGGGGGGACGCGCAGATCTGCCCTCACAGAGGAGGGAGAGCTTGTACCTAAAGGCGGGCCGGGGGTGGGGGGCTCTGCAACTTACCTGGCTACTTCTTGCTCTTCGTGGCCCAACTGAGGGCTGCTGGGAGCAGGGGGCGGGGCTTGTTGCATTTGCCCGCCCCCGGGCTCCTTACTGCCGGAGCTCCGCTCCTGTGCGCTCCCACAGGAAATGATAGGATCTGGCCAGCTTTTCTGCTGGTAGGTAAAGGGAGGAGAGAGTCCTGTCTGATCCCAAGAAAAGCTGTGCTGTAGATAATAGGACAATACGTAGATCAAAGGCCATGGGGCCGGGAGCCAGTGATAATCAGGGGGATTGAGCAAAGAACCTGGTTGGATTCAACCTTGGGAGGGCACCTGTTCCATATAGGGGTGAGAGCAAAAGCAGGGGATGTTGTCACTGCTGGCAGGAACATGGAAGTCATTCACTTACCATAGAAGTCGAAGGAAATCCTAGAGCCTTGTACGACCTGATGGTTCCTATCTGAAAGTGATGTTGTACTGTTACACAATGCCATTTTGCTAGCTTCTGCCCCCCAAATGCTCCTGCTACTATATGGAGCTGGTCTGACAACCCTAATCCAACTGAATATATGCAGTGTGAAGGTGAAAAATCCAGGAACCAAAGATACGAAAATGTCCCCAGCATAGGGCTCTTCTACACGTGTTATTTTCCTCACTTGTGTGCCCATACCACGTGGTTGTTTTCCTTTTCTGCATATGTTTTGCTTCCTCTAGTGGTCACTTCAATATTTCATTGCTGTATCTCCAGCTTATTTCCTTGCATTTTTAACGGACTCAGGAATAAGCCAGTGATACAGCAATAAAATATCAAAGCGGCCACAAGAGGGAGCAAAATATATGTGGAAAAGGGGGGGGGGACCTGATGTAGTACAGGCACACAAGCGACAAAATAACATGTGGGAAAGCCCATGCGGAAGAGAATCATAAACTTTCTGGAAGATTCTGGCTCCAAAACACGGCCACCATTGAAGTCCAGTGTGAATGGAATTGTGCTAAGAATGGGAAACTCTCTCATTGTGTTTTGATCTTTCTCTCCCTCTCCAGGTACCTAGAAGAGGGAAATGTGCAGGCCGCAGAGTCCCAGAAACGACGGATCGAACAGTTGCAGCGTGACCGGCGTCGGGTGATGGAAGATAACAACATTCTTCATCAGGCTCGCTTCTTCAGGTGGCTTTTGCATGCTGTGCTGAATCAGGTTCCATCACATGTCTGGGCTTAGCTGTTGCACCAGGGAGTAGTCAGTGTGATCTTTGGCTTGCTTACAGTCAGGGCTTCCCAGGCCTCTGGTTGGGGCTGGGGTTCCCCCGATCTCATTGTCTGCCACTGACCTTGAGCAGTGGTGAGGAAATTAAAACAAAAAGCTCACAATGTTGGCTGTGGCATCTCATCATTTCTGGTAACAAAAAGTGGAAGTGGCGAAGCGTAGCTGTAGGAATGGCCGGAAACTCTATGGTTACCATAGTTTCTGGCAATTCCTAGAGCTACCTATGTCACTTCCCATTTTTTATACCGGAGAAGTGCCGTGGCACCACAGCCTTCCTGCTGGCAGCCAGGCACTGTCAACTCCTGGGCGGGGAGACTGGTTTATGCACACAGAGAACTGAGGTGGGGAAGCATTCATAATGTGACTTTCCCCACCAACAGTCTGAAGTGGTACAGCCCATTCTGTCACCTCAAGATGCCACCACTTCATTTTAGAACATGTGTAGGCCAGACCTGAGGGACAGGCTTAGGACATTGTTAATGCATTGTGTTACTTTATTTATTTAGATAGCAATACCCAGCTTCCCACCCCCTCCCCCGTCCTCATAGCAACATCCCTGTGAAGTAGGTGAGGCTGAAATCATGTGACTGTTCCTGTGGGCAGCAGAGGACAGGACTCGTAATAATGGGTTTAAATTAAGGGCGGGAAGGTACCAGCTGGATATTAGGGAAAAACGTTTCTGCAGTAAGAGTTGTGCAGCAGTGGAATCAGCTGCCTAGGGAGGTGGTGAGCTCCCCCTCACTGGCAGTCTTGAAGCAGCGGCTGGACAAACACTTGTCAGGGATGCTCTAGGCTGATCCTCCATTGAGCAGGGGGCTGGACCAGATGGCCTGCATGGCCCCTTCCAGTTCTCCCAGATCCTAATCTAACCACTAAACCCCTCTGGCAAAAACAGGAGAGAGTCTTGTGGCACCTTTTAAAAAAATGTTCAATTTTTTAAAAAATAGATCACTGTATTTGCATACACCCCTAGCGGCAACCTGTCAACATTTAACTCCCTGCACAAAGAGATCACTCAAAATGGATCAGATGTCCTCTTTTAAAATGTGCTTTGGCCGGAGATGTCCCTCTTTCTCAGCGGTGCCTTCTGGCTCCTAACAGATTTCCTTCCTTCCTGGCAGGCGGCAGGTGGACACCAACAGCAAGGAATCCTGGGTAAGCAATGGCACCTACTGGAAGCTGAGGGCGGAGCCAGGCTTCAGCAACATGGACAGTGCGGTCTTGTGGTAGTTGCTAGCGTCGCCAGGAGTGGCTGTGCCTTTTCCACCCCCATCCCACCAAGATGGGGGAACAGACGATAAAGAGGTCCCCCGCCAGATAAGCACAAAAGGTGATCAGGGCATGAGATTCTGGCATACCAGCACCACGAGAAGGAGCGGGGGGAAGCACGCACTTAGGAGCTCCTGTGGACACTTCCAAAGCATCTCTCACCCTTGAGAAAGGTGTCCACAGGCCATCTCACATTTTCGCACTGCTGCCTGCTGGTAAGGCACGCCCTAACAGAACCCCGGAGTGCCGCAGCCCCTGGCCGGAAGCATTTTAACGTGGCCTGCATCAAAACAGGACAGGTTGAGTGCAGGGAAGCTGGAAAAGAAGAGAGGCTCCGGTCTCGGATCCTGCCTCCGATAAAACAGCAGCAAATGCATCCTCCAGCATAGGACAGGAGCAGGATCACAGTAGAGCCTGGACGCTAGAAAGGTTTGGGTCCTACCCGGCTGCATTCTTCTGGGGAGACTGCTGCTCCCACCTCTGCCTTGGTTCATTTTGTTTTCGTCACTGTCGGACTCTCGGTATGGGCAAAAGGCTGACCCAGATTAGAGGCACCCTCTTTACCCTGGAGCAGTGGCGGCGGCGCCCTCGGAAAGAGAGAGCCCCGTCCTTTTCTCTCATGAGGGGACCGTAGCTGTGTGGCCCTGTCTGAAGGGCGGCTTCCTGGTCCTCTCCAGAGTTACCATTTTGGGTACCTTCTCGGTACATCCATCTCAACAAAGCCAGGACCTCTTTACAGCAGTGCACCTTAAGGAAGCAGGGCGCTTTGGACTGGCCCGTTCTCAGGGCCAACAGCACTGAACCAGGAGAAGGCCTCTGTGTTTCTGTCTTGTCTGATAACCCTTCTTTCCCTCTCTGTGGTCTGGGTACGTACACTCTACTTCCCGCCTTTTTCTTTCAGCATTTGAAGCAATAAACCCCCCAAAAAACAAAAAAAGCACTAGCTTTTCCCACAGTTCTGTTGCAGGCCAGTTGGTTTGAGAGTAATTTGTACCTTCACATCATGGCAGGGATCTTTCAGGGGATGCTTCCACACCAAGTTTTTTTTTCTCTGCATTCACTTCCAAATTGGAGCTGGTTTGTGGGGTTTTTTGGGCTTCCACACTATGTCATACTGTAATCATCCTATATCCAGGTTTTCCCCTCAAGATGCTCTTTCCCAAACCTGATTTTACTTGGATCTTTTTGGAAAGAGCACAGTCCAAGCACACCTTTTCCTGCCCTGCAAAAGTCCTGCCCACATTGGCAAGCATTTTCCTTGCTGTCATCCTCTGATGGCTGCCATCTTCCCAACATTTCTTCCCTGCCAAACCGCTGGTGGACTTTTTGAGGGACTTGTTGCTTATTGTTTATAAAATCAGGAATTGCTATAGTGCTATAACCATCAATTGCCACTTACCTAATGCTGATTTTAATACAGCCATTATAGCGCTATAGCGCTTGCATGAAGAAAAGAACAAAAAAATGGGGCAAGTCACCACAGCAAGCCACCGTACCCCCAGGCGCCGATGTGGGGTCACTGCTGAGCATGTTAGGGAGGGAAAAGTCAAAAGGAAGTGCACAGAAAACTCCCACATGTGGAAGATTTGACTTCAGTGGGCGTGCCTCTGTGTTTGTAGTAGTGTCAAAGCAGAACAGAGAATCCTTACTGTGTGGAAGCAGTCAGAGTTCATGAGGCTGTGTTACCAATGTACCTTGAGTAGTGAGCCTGCTGGATGGATATCACATTTTAATTGCATTTTGCGTATATGTACATCCTTCCTTTCATGGTTGACCTCACTCGGAGGTCACTAGATTTGTTGCTCCTTCCCTGTGCACTTTCACAAATCATTTTTCCCCTCCTTTTTAAACAATTTTTTTTCATTTGAACAAATAAGGCGCTGAACAAACATCCCAGTGACTTTTAAACAAGAAAGCAGGGAGGCGGGACCTGACAGAACACTGAATCAGCATTCAGTTTGTTGATTAATACCAAATACCCAGCACGTTTCGAGGTTCCTCTGCATGCATACAATCAGGAAGTGGGCTAGTCTTAATGATGATGAGCGGGGAAGCAGTTGGGCGAAAGGGGCACCGTTTGGGTGTAGAGGCTGCCATCCACACATGGATGGATATTACACTGTTATGGCAATACAGTTACTGAGTTCGCTTGTCCACACGGGTAATCCAGTCAGCGATGGTTGCTATAGCACAATAGTCAGTCATGTCTGGATGCCACCATTTTATGCTTTTTAAAAAGTATGAGTTGGTTGGTAGGGCTTTCGGGAAGGAGGACGCACAATCTAAGGGGAACTTGGTATAGGAGGAGACAGAAAGCGTGAGGAGATATGTCCCATAAAAGCAAAGGGGGGCAGATATCTTTACACCAAGACTGATTAAAATGTGGAATTCGCTGCCAGAGGATGTAGTGACAGCCACAGGAATAAACAGCTTTAAAAGGGGATTAGATAGATTCAGGGAGGATAGGTCTATCAATGACTACTAGCCATGGTGACTGAGGGGAACCTCCACATTCAGGGGCCTCTGAATCCCAGAGCCAGGAGGCAACATCGGGGGAAGGCCTCTGCCTCTGTGCCCTGTTGTTGGCCCTCCAGAGGAACTGCTTGGCCACTGTGTGAGACAGGAGGCTGGACAAGATGGACCACTGGTCTGATCCAGCAGGGCTCTTCTTGTGTTCTTACAAGTGCTCAGCCACACCATTGTAGTTCAGGGTAGCGTGAGGTGCTTTGGTTCCATTGCTGTTGGAGTGAGAGAGAGAAGTAACGCTTGGCTGGATTTTGAGCAGGCCTGCATAGCTTGACCCGCAGAGCCGTAAGAACATAAGTCTAGCATCCTGTCACACACCGTGGCCAAAGATGGTCACCTGTCATGTAGTATGGCCTGACAAGTGCTTGACAATCTCTCCCCCCCCAATGTATTCCTAGGAAGTTAGCCAAAACAATTTCAGTTTTATCCTACCTTTTCACCCCTTTCCCCTTCATAACAAGCCCATCAGGTAGTTTAGGCTGAGAGGGAATGATGGGCCCACCGTCACCCAGCAAGCTTCCATGCTGGAGTGGGGATTTGAAACTGGGTCTCCCGGTGCCTAGTTTGGTTCTTAAACTCTTACATTACACTAGCTGCCCACCCTTGAGGTGTATTGGGCTCCTGGTGGGGTTGGCTTGGCAGTTCATGAGATGGATAAAGAATATTTCAGAGGTAGGTCCCTGGTTTCTTCTCCTCTCCCTCCCAAACCATGGATAGGGAAAGGACTGGAAGATCCGGCTCTTCATTGTGAAGGCTTTCATCCCTACATCCCACCTCACAACCTTCTAGGTAGAACTAGATAACAGGGTAAAAGATTCCGGTCTGCCTTGTTCCTTAACATTTTAGTTTTCTGTGGGGAGAGGACTTATTGATTTATGAGGAGATTTTGGTCATGTGACTCCTGTGAGCAGTCAGAAGGGCTAAGGTCCTGACAGAGGGCTACCACCAATACTCCCTCTAAGCTGTGGAGTCTCATGAGCAATAATTCTACTTTGTGAGCTACCGGCATTAAAATTGTGAGTGATTTGGCTGCTGCATAAATTAGTTTGCTCTGGAACCATCCTTCCTGAGCTAAAACAGAAATGTGTCAGCTAGCTCACACTAACTCAGCTTAGAGGAAACACTGGCTACCACCACAATGCAAAGAAGGCCTATGAGAACTTTGGCACACAGTGTTCTCAGGGCATTCTTCTGTGTACCTGTATGTTGCCCTTAAATCAGATCTTTCCCATGTACATCTTTTGCTGTTTCACCTCCTGCTTCTCTGCAATGGCAGGCTAGAAAAGGGGAGCATGAATCGGCCCTTGGTGTTCTGAAATTCTCAGGGCAGGGCCGCCCAGTGGTCCGAAGCCTTTTCCCCTCTTCTCCTCCTGTCTGAACACAGGGGTCGATTTCCATCTGCCTTCAGGAAGAGAGGGATTCAGGCAGGTTGTGCTGGAATCACAACTCCTGGTTTGAAAAGACAAAACACTGTGCAACCTTTTACCTTTGAGTGGCTGAACATCTTTCTCCGGTTTTTTTCTCTCTTGTTTACAGTCTAACATTTATGTGGTGTTGACAGTGGCAGGGAGTCTTGGGTTTGCAGACAGTGTTTACAGAAACGGGGAAAGGATTTGGGACATTTTCTTTACGGGCCTGTGTCAAGTTGATTTTGGGTCGCTCATCTAAGGTAGTCGGGGAGAGCTCGGGACACTGAAATCGGGGCAGTCTCCCAGTTGGCAAAGAACAGGGGTGCTCTCGGCTTTTAGGGTTCCGCTCTGAGCCCCTCTTGTGCGCTTCTTACTGAAGAGGCTGTGTTCCTAGCTGCTTGGGAAGGGGGATGCTAAATCCTTTCCCAATGATTTGCTATTCCCAATTAGAACATTAAAAAAAAATATCTCCCCGCCCCCCCCAGTAGACATTCTGTCTTTCCGTCTGTCCACCCTCCTTTCTGTGCGGAGTGTCTCTTAGCGTTTTGTCTTTCCCGCAAAGCAGGTCGCCCTGCTCTCGTTCTCCTCGCACGGCGGGTCCCATGGCGAGTTGCTGCACTCTTGTCTTTTTGTGTCCGCGTCGATTGGCCTCTGTTCTGTCCTCGTGTTGTGGCTTGAACATTCCACAGCGTGTCCAATAAAATGATTTCAGAGAATTCCACTGTGTGGCCGCCATTTTGTTCATTCTTTCTAGCGACCTTTTCTCAACAGAAAGCTCCCCCCCCCCCAATCTCTTACCAAAACAAGAATGTTTTGCACTCATGGGCTGTTTTGCCAGTTCACACAGTAAAATCTAGTTGGAAAGTGCACTGAAAGTGGATCAAAAGTGGATTATTTAGTGTGTGTGACCACAGCCCATGCTTTCTGGTGGGTTGAATGTGGAGGCTTATGTCATCTCAGTAATCCTCAACAAGTGGTGGGCTTATTCTCTGACCAATTGCTTGCTAAGGGAACAGTATGGGCTTAGAAGGGTGTAACTCGGGGGTCCCCAGACATTTTCAGCTTGTGGGCTCCTTTGGAATTCTGAGACAAGGTGGTGGGCGCAACTACAAAATGGCTGCCTTAAGAGAAGAAGAGAAGAGATATACCCCCCCTTCACAACCCGAAGGAGTCTCAGGGCAGCTTACAATCCCCTTCCCCATGTGGTAGGTGGGGCTGAGAGAGCTTTATCAAGAACTGTCCTTGAGAGAACAGCTCTGAAAGAACTTATGACTGTGGGGAATTGAACCCAGAGTGCGGA